ATGTTTCAGTTCAGTAGCAAATTTAGTTCAAATTTAAATTCCTGTAATTGATTCCAATGATGGTAATGAACTAATGGGATGCTATTGGGTGTTAATTAGACGCCTAAGTTCAGTTTTAATATCCTACAGAGTGATAGGAATAAGCCGGTGAAGGAGCAGAGAAGCTGAAACGGAGCAGAACGGAGAGAAGGCTTACAGGGGGGAAGAGAGCCGGCTCTGGAATACCAAGAGCCTGTCCCCACCTGATTAGAGCCGGCTCCAAGGTTGTATGGAGCCGGCTCTAGGCTGAAATAGAGCCTGCTCTAATTTTTCCAAGAGCAGGCTCTTTCTCAATTTGACGCATACTGTAATTTTTAGCTACTGTTTGGGCACTTTGGGTTATTGAACAGTTTTAGAAATTTAATGGGTTTTTAAATAATTATTTTAACATGTAACTAAGGTCTTGAAATGCATAAAATAGCCTCTTGGTATTAACGGAATTAACTATGCGCTATTTAGCCACTTTGCGTACGGTTAACGGCTGGAAGGAAATTTATTGTCTAATTTTAATTTGACAATTTAAGGGGCTATAATATAGTTCTAAATTAAAGTTTAAATGTGTGATGGAGTCTTTTGAATAACAATTAGACTTGTAGCTTATTGGGGCTCTGTGCTAAAAGATTAAACAGAATATCAGTATGCAACTTAGCACGCGGTTACCTGATGGAGAAAATTAAGTTGCTCAAATTAATCTAGCAATTTATGGGACTATAATGTGATTTAAAAACTTATGTTTTTTTATGCATGATAGAGTCATTGATATATTAGATGTGATCTACGCATGCTATGGATGCTAGTTGTTGAACCTTTAAACCGTTTCCTGCAAATACATGGTTTAACTCTTGGATTTAAATTGCTGAAACTATAAATAGTCTTTTGTAATTATTTGGGATGGTTTTGGATTGTAAATTGCTATACTATTATTTATAGGTTGTAATTTACATGGTTTGGATGTTAATTGTGGGATCTTAGATATTATCATACAAGTAATTGGATTATGGTTTTGAACTGTAATTGCTGTAGTGTTGTATAAACTATTCTGCAATTACCTGGCTCTTGGTTTTAGTTATTAAATTGCTGTACTGTTATTGATAGTCTGTAATTTTTACATGGTTTTGGATTTAAATTGCTGAATAAATATATTCTGTCAATTACATGGATATGAAGGATTGTATGCACTAGTATGGGACGGTGACATACTAGGGGACGGTTTAGCTCAAAACGCCTAAACCTAACCTAATGGATTAAAGGAATGGATTTAAAAATATTGAATCCTAATTGTGTTAAGTCAAATCAACTGCAACTAAGTTGAGTGGCTTCCTAGATTAATGGATGATAGTTAAGTCATATCAACTGAATAAGTTGATAGACTAACTAGCTTATTTATTGTATGTCAGTTCAATAAATATTTGAACTACATACCCTGGTTTTGGATGGACTTTATATGTATGTTTATGGTACCACGAGATGAGCTTGAGCCTCAGACTCGTTGGTTAGGGTGCGTATATGCAGTGGATGCGTAGCTGGCTATAGTAGGTTGAGGTATACCCTGTTAGGTCTAGGTACTCATGCCCACCTTTGGGTGCATTTTCGCATGTTGCCTTCTATTCAGGTTGAGACCCCTACTGTAGTCCAGTGAATGTCCCTTAGTGTGGATATATATATATATATGTATGGACTAGATAGCTATTGTTGAGATATCTAGGGTGTATCTGCGTATCGAGTCACTGTTTGGATTGTAATTAGAGAAGAATTTACATGTGGGCCTGACCCACTCTTATTTTTACAGGTGTTTGTTAGTTCCAGACTTGGAGCTGGATCGTGCTAAGCAGATACAGTTATTCATTCCACCGATGACCAGGGTTTTATTTCATATTTTAGACTTGGGTTTCATTTCCAATCTTTTGAGTTCAGTGAGATATTTTAGGGGTCCACTAGATGGATTCCCGAGTTGTAATAGAAATGAAGAAGTAGGATGTATCAGAATCATTCTTTGTTAATTAAATTTTATTCTGAGGTTTTTGAATTATTATTCTAGTTTCTTTTCAGCAATTTATTTATTCTTATTTTTTTTCTTTTTTTTTCTTTTTTTTTCTTATTTGTATTCTGTGTTCGATTATTGCTAATTTGTTTGATATCCTCGGGTAGTCGGGCGTGGGCCTGGCCAACCCGCATCCAGAAATCCGGGGGTATGACACCACCTTCCTTTTCAGAACCAGATCGCCAAGAGCGAAACCCCTGTGCCTCACCTTCTTGTTATGGCTATTCACAAGCGTCTATTGATAAAAGGCAAGTCTCACTGCAGCCGCATCCCTTTTTTCTTCCAACAAATCAAGATTGAACCTCAGCATTCTATCATTCTGCTCTTGATCCCACGCCAAGCTCCTTACAGTTGGAACCAAATACTCGACTGGTATCACCGCCTCGGTGCCATAGGCCATAGCGAATGGGCTCTCTCCAGTTAGCCGGCTTGGGGTTGTTCTGTAAGCCCACAAGACGTTCGGTAACTCATCTAACCATTTGCTTTTTTCATTCTCCAGCTTTTTCTTAATACAAGCAAATATTGTCCTGTTTGTGATCTCGGCTTGACCATTAGCCTGGGGATGACTGATTACTGCTAACTTCTGATTGATTCCATATTCTTCCAGCAGCTCTCTCACTTGCTTGCTATCGAGGTTGGTTCCATTGTCCATCACGATTGACCTTGGTACGCCAAAACGACAGATAATATTATCCAGATGAAGCGTCTTACTTGAGTTTGGGTGACACTAGGGTACGGCTCTGTTTCTACCCATTTGGTGAAGTAATCAGTAGCTAGCAGAACGTACTTATTCTGTGATCTTGCAGTCGGCAAAGGACCAACCACGTCCATCCCCCACTGCTCGAAAGGCCATGGGATGGTCATTACGTGCAGGTCTTCAGATGGTTGATATATCAATGACCCGAACCTCTGGCATTTATCGCATCTTCTAGAGAATTCTTCTGCATCTCGTGCCATGTTTGGCCAGAAGTACCCCTGTGTCATTGCTTTGTGTGCAAAGATCTTCCTCCGGAATGATTTCCGTATACTCCCTCATGAATGGTTCGCATAATCTGTCTAGCTTCTGCAGGGGTAGCACACTTCAAATATGGACCCGAGAAGGAGCGTCTATACAATTGATCGTGCACAATGGCATACTTTGCTGTGCTGGACCTAATTTTTCTTGCCTCGTCCTTACGCTCGGGGAGTGTACCATTACATATGTAAGCCATGATTGGATCGATCCAGCTCGGCTCATATGGTATAACATTAACATGTTGAGTGCTCGGATTAGGCAGCTCTCCAAGCGGTCGGCATCTTCGTTATACTCTCTCGCCAATTAGATAAACCTGATCTGATCAAAGGCTTTTGCCTCACGCAGAACTGCAGTTCGGTATGCTTCCATAGTCTCATCCTTGGCCCCATAGTCCCCATTGACTTGTCGGATGACTAGTTGTGAATCATTATAAGCAATCAGATTCTTGATCTTCAGTTCTTTAGCCAACTTCAGCCCAGCTATCAACGCCTCGTATTCTGCCTCATTGTTGGTCGTGTTGAACTCTAGTCTTATCGCTTGGCTCAGCGTAGTTCCTTCCGGTGTTTGCAATTGAATTCCAATCCCGGCCCCCATTTGATTCGAGGAGCCGTCCATGAAGAGCTTCCACCAGGAACAATTATAATCTTCCACCGCATCTTCAGCATCACAGTTAAGTAGGAAATCCGCCACTGCTTGACCTTTGATTGCCGTCCTGGGCTCGTACGCGATATCAAATGAACTCAATTCAATGGCCCACTTGGTCATTCTCCCCGACCGGTCCGGTTTGTGCAGGATCATTCTCAAAGGGAAAGTTGTTAAAACAACAATTGGATGAGATTCAAAATAATGTCTAAGCTTCCTTTTTGCGTTGACCAGTGACAAGATCATTTGTTCGGCCCTAGAGTACCTTCTCTCCGGTTCAGACATTGTCTTGCTAACATAAAACACCGGGAACTGCTTGCCCTTTTTGTAACGGATCAGAACAGCACTGGTTGCTATACTGGACACCCCGAGATATAGAAAGAGTTTCTCATTCGGTTCTGGAGCAGAAAGAACCGGAGGATTACGCATGTACTCCTTCAGGCTGGTTAGCGCCTTCCGCTGCTCATCCCCCCAAGTTTGTCTTCCGTGCCCTCAAATTGTATCAAAGAAAGGTTTACAGCGGTCCGAAAGCTTAGAAATAAATCGGCTCAGTGCGGCTATCCGGCCTGTGAATGCCTGCACCTCTTTAATTGTCTTTGGCTCTGCATTTCTGATCAAGGCTTCTGCCTGCGCTGGGCTGACCTCTATTCCCCTATGATTGACCACATGTCCCAGGAATTGACCGGAGCTTACACCGAATGAGCATTTGGCCGGATTAAGCTTCATTCCATACTGGCGTAACACATCGAACACATCTTGCAGGTGCGCTAAATGATCGCTCTTCTTCTTACTCTTGACCACCATATCGTCAATATAAGCCTCGACAGTGCTGCCCATTTGGCCCTTAAAAATCTTGCTGATCAGCCTCTGATAAGTGGTTCCAGCGTTTTTTAATCCGAATGGCATGACTTTGTAGCAATAAGTCCCTCGTTCAGTAACAAACGAAGTTTTCTCTTTATCAACTGGGTCCATAGGAATTTAATTATAACCGGAATAAGCATCCAGGAAGGTTAACCGTTCATATCCCGTGGTGGCATCTACCATTTGATCAATCCTGGGTAATGGGAAACTATCCTTCGGGCAGGCTTTATTCAGGTTAGTGAAGTCGATGCATACTCTCCATTTCCCATTCTTCTTCTGCACTACAACAACGTTAGAAAGCCAGGCCGAGTACTGAACTTCTCTGATGAATCCGGCTTCAAGCAGCCGATCAACCTCCTCAGCTATAATCTGATTTCGTTTTGGAGCAAATCTTCTTTGCTTCTACTTCACTGGCTTTGCATTCGGATCCACATTAAGGGAATGGCAGGATACAGCAAGATTTATTCCTGGCATATCTGAATGGCTCCATGCGAATACATCCGCATTCCGAATCAAGAAATTAGTCAACTCTAGTTTTTCTTCTTCAGTGAGTCTGGTTCCCACCCTTGTTGTTCGGTCTGGTTTCTCATGATCAATCTTCACTTCATGAAGGGGTTCTGTGGTCAGAACTGGTGGCTCCTCCCCCCTATCCTTGCTGAGAGGAGGGTTCTGTAATTGCTATTTTGGACTGGCTGAACGAATGGGATTTTTTCCTTTTCCAGCAGATTTCAAAGTTACTGAATAACATTCTTTAGCCGCAACCTGGTCCCCGTGTATATCTATTACCTTGGTCCTATCCGGACCCAAACATCACATCACTTGATGTAAGGTTGACGGAACGCCCTGAATTCTGCGAATCCATCCTCTGCCCATCAAGAGGTTGTATGATGGATGAATTTCGACTACCATAAAACTTTCAGTCAAAACCCGCTTAGTGGCTTGTACTGTCAATTCCACCATTCCAATGGGTTCCACTCGCTTCCCATCAAATCCGAGCAACAGATTTCCTGTGGGTTTGAGTTTTTCGAGATCGATCTCCAGTCGGTCGAACGTCACCCTGGGCATGACATTTGCACTACTTCCTGGATCAATCAGGACTCTCTGAACCAAGCATTCTGCAATCGTCAGACTGACGACTAGTGGATCTTCATGAGGAATCTGAACGCGTAGCAGGTCTGTTTTGTCAAACTTTATCGATGTGGACGCGTTCTGCTGGTGCAAAGCATGCACACTACCAATTCTTCTTTTCAGCTGGGCCTGGCGTAACCTCGTTCTGAGCAACTCTTCTGACTCCGTTGTTTGTTCAGGCCGGCTATGAATTGCATTTATAATCCGGACGGGCTGAGAGTTGTGTTGGTTCGGCCTCTGGTTCCGCTTGATTTGTTCAATCGGGCGGTTATGCTCTTGCGCCAGACCTTGAACATAGCTTGCAAATTCCCCCTTTGCGATTAGCATCTCTACTTGCCTCCTTAGGTTCCTGCATTCGTTAGTCTGATGCCCAAAATCACTATGGAAAACACAATGTTTAATTTGATCCCTCTGTTCAAGAGGTTGCCTGATTGGCAGAGGAGGACGAAACTTATCTTTGTTCTCCTGGTATAGCCTTGCTAAGGTGACTCTGAGTGAAGTGATTGATTCCTCCTCCCTAGGCCTCTTCTCCGCCTTCCATGAGGGGTGACGTTTCGGTTGAGCTTGTTTTTGCCGGATCTTGGCTTTGGACTTTTCCTCCGTCGAAATAATTGACGTCTTCCTTGAATTAGCTGTTTCTTCCTCCTCAAGGCGAACAAAACCGTCAGCTTTCTCGTTCAGCTCGTCCATTGTCTTTGGCGTATTAACCACCAAGTTGGTGTGGAACGGCGTCCCCCGGTTCATTGCGAGTTTAAATGTTTGGACTGCTGTTGACGGGTGACACTCCATTAACATGCTTTTAACGAGGTTGAACCGGGTGAGAAAAGCTTGGAGCCGCTCATCCTCATGCTGCTTCATTGTGAAAAGGCTTGATACATCCTTAGCCGAACGCTTATTCCCGTAATACTGGCTTATGAACTTATCGCATAAGTCTTGGAAACTGGCGATTGAGCCTTGAGCTAGATTCTTGAACCAATTGAGAGCTGGTCCAGCCAAGCTCGTAGGGAAACACTTGCACATCAAAGGTTCATTATTAGTATTCAAAGCCATTTTCAACTGAATATGGTATATGTGATCAACCGGATCGGTTGTTCTGTCAAACAGAATGAAGATCGGCATGGAAAACTTCTTCGGATTCGGCGCGTTCATAATTTCATCAGTGAACGGTGATGCGACCGTCCTTGCTGAGGAACGCAATGCTTCGTTTTCTTTGAAAACCGTAACAGAAATCCTCGATCGGCAGATCTCCTTTCTGAGCTACGGTAATCAACTGTCGCTAATGAAGGTCGGTTTGGCAGATCGAACGACCTATCCTCCGTAAATTCACTCCGCCATGGTGACGTAATTCTATGTTCATATGCCGGTGCTTCCTCCTTCATAATCAGTTTGTGATGCGGTTCCAGACGAACAGATCCTTCCCAATCCTCTTCTCGGCCGACATTCAGAGGCAGATTATCAATTATACCTTCATCACGACGTGGACCACCACAATTGACATCTTCTGAATCATCTTGACGATCAGCTTCGGACGGTAAAGCTCCCTCTCCTTTAGGAGGTGGCCTCGAAATTGCAGGAGCCTCACGATGCTCCATTCCAGCTCGTAGCTCTGCATTTTCTTTCCTCAAAGCATCGATCATGTTCATTAGCTCATCGAGCTTTGACTACTGGCCGTTCTCCAAAGAATTCGAGTTCGCCTCTCCGATCATCATTCCAGATCGGAGCAAAGTCATCAACTGCAAGCTTCTTGACCAAATCGGAGTTTCGCTAACGAGCGCACACCAGATCTGAACTTACACTTGCCAAATTCAGTTCACTACTGGCCGGATTCAGTAATCACAACAGATCGCAACTGCGCGGTTCGCCGGTTCAAGCACGGATCTGATCTGCTTGGATCGGACGCCAATTTTTCGAAATCAACCGGAACCTGGACTCGTTAAGACAGATCGTATTATTACCAATGCTGATTTAGCTTTCGCAGATTAATCGTCTTCCTCGCAAAATGCGTTGAATCGATCCGATCTGGAATGATATCAATCAATCCTTCCTGTTCTTCCCACAGACGGTGCCAATTGAAAGTACAAAGAATTTTTCCCTAATTGTAGAGAGAAAAACTTTACACTCCCAATGATTTTTCACCCCTTTTCCCTCTCAATCCCCTTTATTTATAGACGGTTATAACCACCACTGAGCTGGACCTATCTTGTTCTCTTTTGGCTGAACTCGACTCCCTCATTTTAACATGGGCTTCTGAAATGACTTTATGGACCTGGGCCCATCCGGCGCGAACTTGTTCCATCCCACTTGTCCTCACCCGACCCGTCCTATGCAATGTGGATCACACCAAACCCGGGTCATTTTGGTGTCCTCAGAGCATTAAAAACATCTACATAAGAGTGTCTAATACGAAAAGCAAACAATTTAGCGAAGATCATGGAAATGTGTATTGAATGTTGGAAGGAAATGGTTGTTTGTCAATTGTATAGGTTATGAATACATTTGTTTCAAAAGATAGTTCTGGTTCTTTTGGCTTTGTGCTTCAACTCAGCCTGAGGCTGCCAGGGTTCGAATCTGGTACAATTCCACTGCCACCTTCTTCCATCTTAAAAGAAGGTATTCCAAAATACCTCTCTTTTTCTTTGGTTTATATTATTTTCCACTATTTTTCTTTGGTAATGAAAGAGTCAAAAAAAAATAATAATAATTGAATTATGTTTTCATTTATTCTATCTTTGTGGGACCGTATATTATTGCATAAAATCCTCTGGTACCAATAAATAGATAAGGGTTAAATGCTCTAACAATCTTTTAAATTTGTCTTTATTGTTTACAGATTAAATTATTAAAAAAAAAAAAACTTAAACCCCCCCTTATATTTGGTTGAGTTTGCCTCGACACTCCCTTCCGTTAGTAAACCATAGAAACGTCTAATGTCAGCTAAATTAAAAAATTTAAATGCCAAAATTATCCTTTCTTGTTGCAAGTTCAAGTTTACACTAATTAGTTGGACATTTATACCCTCACATGTTAATAGAGCATTCTATGCTTTCTTTCCACCACCACTCCATCTGACTCTCTGCTTTCTTTCCACCACCACTCCATCTGACTGATGTGACTATGATCACAACGATGATGGCCATCTCATTTGCTGAACTCAAAAGTTTTTTAGTTGTCATTTTAGAGAGAGAATGATGTCTGGGCATTTAAATCAAGGGCAAAAATGACATTTTTTCATTTCAAGTTCAGCACTGAATGCATACATGGGATAAATAAATGGAAGGTTATAATGGTAAAAATACATATTATGTTAAAATACAAATAGTTGTTAATTCCTACGGGGTGTGAGGGCAATTTTTGTCCAAGTTTAATCTACAAGCAATAAATGAAAACCTACCTTCCGAAACAAAAAAAATAAAAAATAAATAAAAAGCTGAGGGAGTGTTAGAGCATTTAACCCAATAAATAAATCAATAAATAAATCACCAGCTTTGGATTGTGACAGTGATATATATATATATATATATATATATATATATATATATATATATATCATCACTCAAATGAATAGAACATCTAAAAAAAAAGGGATTACTGTTTATTTATATTTTTTTGAATTTATATAATAGGTATTGGATTATCAAAATAGATTCTTGGATAAAGTACAGTAACACTCCCGAGGTTTGTCAAAAAGACACACAAATGAAACTTAGTCTATTTTGGGACAAAGATACCCCCTCAAGTTTGATATAGTTACCAAAGATACCTCAATGGTAATGAATTGACATTTTTGCCCTTTAACTTTTATATTGACTAATTTGAATGTTGAAAAGACCTTCTAACCTCTAACCTTTGTGTACAGACGGCAGACCTATACCCATTTATTTCCTTCTCTCCTCTTACCGTTCTCTCTTCCTCCTCTTGCCACACTAACAAACATATATATATATATATATATATATATATATATATATATATATATACACATAGGGACTTTGCCCTGGGAAAGGACGATGCAGAGTGGGCTGCCGAAGATCTGAAGTTGTAGCATATATATCCACACACACAAGGCGGCGACGGCGAGGACAACGATTGTATCACACACAAGTTTCTAAAGGAACAAGTCGAGATCGGAGTTATCGAGGGATGACTTATTGAGAGCTAACAGCTTTTTGTTCAGGCATTCTCACGTGACGATTTAGATGGTTTTGTAAATATGTGGGTCTGCTTTTTCTTTTTCTTTTTCTTTTTTCTTGTTAGTTATGCAACAGGAGCTAACCATAATGTTGAAAACCCAATGTTAGATCTTTTAGGGTTTTTTTGTTAGGGTTTTCAATTCTCATTTGTTTACCTGAAATTGAAAAGGTAAGGCATGGAATCAATCTCTCTCTCTATATATATGTTCTTGTGCTTTATAGAGATACTTTTTGTATTTGACAAAGACACAAAGTTTGTGGTTGTTGTGCTGTGTTTGTACAATCAATTCGGCTGGGCCTGGTTTGGATTCTATCTATGCATCGTACATGTTAGCTCTTAGTTTTCACATCAGCTTTTACATCAACTAACATGTCGGCGATTGCTGTTTTGGGTCTCCATTGGTTTAGATGGAGAAATTTTATGATTAATTTGGGGAAGGTTAGGGTATAGATTGGATAGCAATTGTAAGTGCGTGTAATACATATGTGTGTGTATATATAAGAGAAAGAGAATGAACAGAAGAAATAATGGTGGTGGTGGTGGTGGAGGCGGTGGTGGTGATAGCTGAAATAAACTGAGGCAATTGTGTCTTTTCACTATATCTGATATTTTATAATAATTTTGATTTTAATATTAAGGGATAATTTCGTCTTTTCAATAAATTTAAGGCCTTGTTTGGTTGGAATTTCATACAAGCGGTCTTTGTCCCAAAATAGGCTAACTTTTATCTGTGTGTCCTTTAATCAAACCTCAGGTGGTGTTACTGTACTTTACCCTAGATTCTTTTATTTATTATGGAAAAATGAAATCATCCAACCTGTTGATGTGGCTCAATTAATCTAAAACAAGTATTCAAAACCAAAAGTTAGGATTTAAAACACATGTCCAAAAGTAAAAGTTAGGCAATACCCAATTTAATCTTATATTTAATTTTAACACTTGTCGCATTTTATTGAGCTACATTAACAGATTGGATAAAGTGGGTTGGACCGAAGTATTGTTGTTAACTTAGAACTAAATGGTAATAGTTCAGTTGGTACTTCCCTCCTCTCGTAAGAAAGGTTGGGATTCGAGCCTTAAGTGAATGACAGTTTGAATCTTTCAACGTCTTATTTGTTTGCAATGGCCCTCCTCTAACTCGTTTGGTTTCTTTTTTGAAGTAATTCTATCATTTTACACCTATTATTTTAGAGCAGTGCTATACTGCCGAACCATTGTTTACCCGACCCCATCGATTGTCCTACGTGGTCGTCCACGTGTTAATTTTTTTTTTTTTTTTTTTGGGTTGAACCGGATGCCCCTCCTCTCTTTCTCTCTCTAACAATCGGCAACGAACCTTTCTGGCGAACATTCCGCGACCACTGGTGAACCATCTTCTCCGTCAAAACTATCTTTCTCTCTCCAGTAAACTCTCTCTCTCTCTAAAACCAGTGAGACCCATTTCCATTGTCAGAAAAAAATATATATATTCAGATCCATTTAGTTTCTCAAAAATGAAACTGTGGGCAATCGATCTCCATTTACAAATCCAAAGAGCTCAATCCATCACCCTCCATGGCCTCTACTTCAATCTCACCTCAACAAACCAACCAAAAACAAACCCATTGGGGCAAGCATATATATATATATATATATATATATATATATCAATATAGGGATTTGTAATTACCGAAAAAAATATAGAGATTTGTTGTGTGTGTATATTATCATGTAGATAGAGAATGAGTAGAGAGAGGGGTTTTGGTAATATTGCTGATGGGTCTTTTACGTTCTGATTTGGTTTTCAAGGTCACATTCATGATATAGAGAAAACATTGATAGTGGTGGAG